TCTGATTTTTCGATAATACTAGATTCCTCGAGCTTTCAGTTTTTCTATATTTTAATTTTTCAATTTTCCGAATTTCTATATAAATTTTTCGATGTTTTGATTGTTCTATCTCTGGGTTTACCAATTTTTCCATTTTTAACATTTTGATTTCCCGATTTTTCGATTTCTCGATGTCACAGTTTTTGAATTTTTCGACGTTTCCATTTTTCGATTTGTTACTTTTCGACTTATCAGTTTTTCGATGTTTCGATTTTTGAATTATCCGATTTTTCAATTTTCCAATTTTTTAATTGTTGAGTTTCGATTTCTCGATTTGTTGATTTTTCAGTTTTTTAAATTTTAGATTTTCGAATTTCTATTTTTTTGTTTTTTTGATGTTCAGATTGCTCCAATTTCAATTTTACGATGTTTTAATTTTTCAAATTTTGACGTTTCTGAATTTTAAGTTTTCCGATTTCTCAAATAATTAATTCTTTGATTTTCCCATTTCTCGACTTGCCAAAGTTTCGATCTTCCAGTTCTTCAGTTATCCAATTTTGTGATTTTTCAGGTTTTTGATTTTTCGATTTTTTAATTTCCCAATTTTTGGATATTTCGTTCAATTTTGTGATTTTTCAGTTTTGTGAGTCTTCAATTTTTCTTGGATTTTCAGTTTTTAGAGTTTTGGATTTTCAGTGTTTCGATTTTTACTTTAAATCTTTCAATTTTTCGGCTCTTTTCTACATCGATTTCTCAATTCTTGAACTTTCCGATGTTTCAATTTTTCAATTTTTAAAATTCTAGGTTTTTCGATTTCTCGAGTTTTCAGTTTTTCTATATTTCAATTTTTCAATTTCCCGAATTTTTAAATTTTTGATTTTCCAGTTTTCCTTTTTTCAGATTCTTCGATTTTTCAATTTTTTGATTTCTTGATTAATCGATTTTTCAATTTCTAACTTTTCTTCCCGGCTTTCGACTCTTCGATTTCTCGATCCTCTGATTTTTCGATTTCTCGATGTCTGTTTTTGAATTTTTCGATATTTCGATGTTTGGATTTCTCGGTGTTTCGACTGGTTACTTTTGGGCTTTTCAATTTTTCAATTTTTATAATTCTAAATCCCTCGAGTTTTTAGTTTTTCTATATTATGATTTTTCAATTTTCCGAATTTTTAAATTTTCAATTTTTCAATTTCTTGAGATCTCGATTCATCGAGATTCGGAGGTTTCCATTTTTAACTTTTCGACAACTCGAATTTTCGGTTTCTCGATGTCAGTTTTTGAATTTTTCGATATTTCGATTTGTCACTTTTCGACTTATCAATTTTTCGATGTTTCGATTTTTCAATTATCCGATTTTTCAATTTTCCAATTTTTTAATTGTGGATTTTCGATTTCTCGGTTTGTTGATTTTTCAGTTTTTCGATTTTTAAAATTTTAGATTTTCGAATTTTTATTTTTTTGTTTTTTTAATGTTTAGATTGCTCCATTTTTCAATTTTACGATATTTTAATTTTTCAATGTTTTGAATTTTAAATATTTTGACTAGTCGATTTTTCAGTTCTTCAAAATTTTTTAATTTTTCAAATTTTGACGTTTCTGAATTTTCAGTTTTCCGATTTCTCAAATAATTAATTCTTTGATTTTCCCATTTCTCGACCTGCCAAAGTTTCGATCTTCCAGTTCTTCAGTTCTTCAATTTTTCGATTTTTCAGGTTTTTGATTTTTCGATTTTTCAATTTTTTAATTTCCCAATTTTTGGATATTTCGTTCAATTTTGTGATTTTTCAGTTTTCGATTCTTCAATTTTTCTTGGATTTTCAGTATTTCGAGTTTTGGATTTTCAGTGTTTCGTTTTTTAAACTTTAAATCTTTCAATTTTTCGACTGTTTTCTACATCGATTTCTCAATTTTTCAACTTTTCGATGTTTTAATTTTTCAATTTTCCAAATTTTTAAATTCTTGATTTTCCAATTTTTCTTTTTTAAAATTTTTCGATTTTTCAATTTCTCGATTCATCAATTTTTCAATTTCTAACTTTTCTTCCCGGCTTTCGACTCTTCGATTTCTCCATGTCTCAGTTTTTGAATTTTTCGATATGTCGATGTTTCCATTTCTCGGTTTTTCGATTTGTTACTTTTGGGCTTTTCAATTTTTCGATTTTCCAAGTTTTCGATGATTCAATTTTTCAGTTATCCGATTTTTCAATTTTTTAAATTATGAAATTTCGATTTCTCGATCTTTCAGTTTTTCGATTTTTAAGTTCTAGATTTTCGAATTTTGATTTTTTGATGTTTGGTTTTCTAAATTTTTCAATTTTGTGATATTTTAATTGTTCAATATTTTAAATTTTAGATTTTTCGATTTCTGGATTTTTTAATTTTTCAATTTTTATAATTCTAGATCCCTGGAGTTTTCAGTTTTTCTATATTTAGATTTTTCAATTTTCCGAATTATTAAATTTTCGATTTTTCAGTTTCTTGAGATCCCGATTCATCGAGATTCGGATGTTTCCATTTTTAACTTTTCGACTTCTCGATTTTTCGGTTTCTCGATGTCACAGTTTTTGAATTTTTCGATGTTTCGATTTTTCGATTTGCTACTTTTCGACTTATCAATTTTTCGATGTTTCGATTTTTCAATTATCCGATTTTTCAATTTTCCAATTTTTTAATTGTGGATTTTCGATTTCTCGATTTGTTGATTTTTCAGTTTTTCGATTTTTAAATTTTAGATTTTCGAATTTTAATTTTTTTTGTTTTTTGATGTTTAGATTACTCCATTTTCAATTTTACGATATTCTAATTTTTCATTGTTTTAAATTTTAAATATTTCGAATTTCCGATTTTCAGTTCTTAAAAATTTTTTAATTTTTCAATTTTAATGTTTCTGAATTTTCAGTTTTCCGATTTCTGAAATAATTAATTCTTTAATTTTCCCATTTCTCGACTTGCCAAAGTTTCGATCTTCCAGTTCTTCAGTTTTTCAATTTTTCAGATTTTTGATTTTTCGATTTTTCAATTTTTTAAAATCCCAATTTTTGTATAATTCGTTCAATTTTGTGGTTTTTCAGTTTTGCGATTCTTCAATTTTTCTTGGATTTTCAGTTTTCCGGGTTTTGGATTTTCAGTATTTCGTTTTTTAAACTTTAAATCTTTCAATTTTTCGACATTTTCTACATCGATTTCCCAATTTCTCAAATTTTCGATGTTTTAATTTTTTTATTAATAGTTTTATTCTCGTCCATTATTCATTATAGGTGTTGTTTTTTGTATTTCGGGACACGTGGACATAAAAAGAAGAAGATGAGATGTCTTCTACGTGTTAATTTTTCAATTTTTAAAATTCTAGGTTTTTCGATTTCTCGAGTTTTCCGTTTTTCTATATGTATTTCAATTTTCCGAATTTTTAAATTTCTGATTTTCTAATTTTTCTTTTTTCGATGTTTCGATTTTTCAGTTATCCGATTTTTCAATTTTTTAAATTATGAAATTTCGATTTCTCGATCTTTCAGTTTTTCGAATTTTTATTTTTTGTTTTTCTGATGTTTTGTTTTCTGGATTTTTCAATTCTGTGATATTTTGATTGTTCAATGTTTTAAATTTTAGATTTTTCGATTTCTTGAGTTTTTAATTTTTCAATTTTCCGAATTTTTATACAAATTTTTCGATGTTTTGATTGTTCTATCTCAATGAATCTATTTTTTGATTTTCTCATTTTTCGACTTCCCAAACTTTCGATCTTTCAGTTCTTCAATTTTTCAGGTTTTTGATTTTTCGATTTTTTAATTTTTTAATTTCCCAATTTTTGGATATTTCGTTCAATTTCGTGATTTTTCAGTCTTTTAGTTCTTCAATTTTTCTTGGATTTTCAGTTCTCCGTTTTTTAAACTTTCGATTTTTCAATTTTTCGACTGTTTTATACTTCGACTTCTCAATTTTTCAACTTCTCGATATTTTAACTTTTCAGTTTTTAAAATTTTAGATTTTTCGGTTTCTCGAGTTTTCAGTTGTTCTATATTTCGATATTATTTAATTTAATTAAGATAATTTCATTTGTTAACACACCATTTATTTCATTATTGTCTTAGCTTGAAATTATTCTCTTTTTGGCAAAATAAACATTTAATTAAAAAAAATAATGAACGATAAAAGAGATCAAAACGTCAAAATTTGACAAGGAGCAACTTCAGGCCGTAACTAAAAACAACAGGTTAACCTCAGCCCGTGACTTAGGTGACCGTTTAGCCACAGCTCATGTCAATATCTAAAACCGAAATTAGCGCCGTCAAGATGACAACTCAAAATAACACTATACTTAGATACGGGGTAGAAAATTTGGGTTTGTCGATAAAATCTACTTTGATACCTATTAAATATTTATAGACACAATCAATTTAAGCAGATATTTTTATTGCTATGCGGGAAATAAAACAATATCACCTTCACCTTGAGATATGAAAATAAACTCGCAAAATTTTTCCTTATTCTTATCTTTTGAAAAGCTATAATTCTTTCTGTCATATCACAATAAACAAAGCTCCTTTATTTATTTACTCTACGGAAAAAAAAGATGTGCAACCAAAACGCAAAACCGATTTCGCAATAGCGGCTCCAGCTCGAAAGCCGCATTGCAACACCAAACCGTTCGTTTTAAACAATCGTCGCGAGATTAACAAACTCAATTAACTGCAGAACGCGAACTCCGCGTTACTCTTTAATGGCAATTGCATCGAACTATAAATCAGCGCGATTATATTTTTCGGCGGATTATGAAAAATACCACATGCCCGAGCAGCCTAAAACAAAATTGCAATTCCGTAATGCAAACAAAACGCAATTACGGCGCCCGACATGCACACGAATGCATAAATTTCCCTTACAAATGTCGGCCGAAAAGTAACGCAATTTCGCCTGGGTAAACCGCGTTTAAAAATTATTTTTCACGTTTTGATGCACTTACCTCGACGGTCTTGGGACGAGGAGGGGACGGGAGCGGGATTCGAGTTCCGGTAATGAAATTCATTTCGAGTAATTAAAATTTTAATAAAACATCACTTCAAGCTGGACACTTTAATTTTTTTTCGAACGGCGTTGTTGTAGCCCTCCTTGTACTGGTACCAGATGTCGTTCTTGCATTCCTGCGGTTTTCCTGCAAATCGGAAAGAGTTTCCGGTGAGTGGCAATTACGGCGGTTCGGGACTAATTAATGGATTTAGACGGGTTGACGGAGGGTTGGAAGAGGGACAATGAAATTGAGAAACTATAGAGTAATTACGTCGTTTGCTGAAGCGGTAATTTATTGGTAATGATGTCTGTAATTGCTTAGGAGCCGGAGTCGCCTTCTGGCCCGGATTCGGCGCACACTATTAGCTTATTGTTTGCCGAGGAAAATTACAATTTGGATTATTACTGTTTGGATTGCTGGCTGGGTGAATTTAGGGGCGAATTACGCACCTGATGAAGAAGATTTCTTGGCGACGGTCCTGCCGAAGAAGTCCTTGACGAGGGCCTGCAACAAAGATAAGCTCATTAAATACAAAGCAATTTTTACTTTTTGAGCGTAAGCTGACATTACCAAAATTAGTTAAATTAAATTATATACTCCCACTTGCGGTTTACGAATCTATCTTGAGTTTGTTTATTATTATTATTTGTTTACTGTGTTGTTGATCATGTGTTATTTTCCTCTATATCCATGACTACTTATTTCTTGTTTGTTTATTTATTTGGGTTTTCAGGACCGAGTTTCGGGTTTTATTAATATTTTTAGTAACTCATATAAATACTAACATGAAATTTATTAATATTTTCATTGTTTTGGCGACGCGACGCTTCGCTACCTTTATTGGTGCTTCCTCAAGACTACGCACTATTATTAGTCAAAATTATTAAAATTATCCAAAAAGACACACATATTAAAATTTTTATACCAGCAGTGTGTTAATGAGTGGCCGTTATTAATTTCAATTTTTCGATACTTCAGTTTTGGGAATTCTCATTTTTTTCGATATTTTAGTTTCCGGATTTTTTAGGCTTTTATTCGTCAATGTTTCGATTTCTCAATTTCTCGATTGTTATTCAGTTTTAATTTCTCAATCATTTTTCGATACTGCAGTTTTGGAATTTTTATTTATTCTTAAATTTTTTGATGTTTCGGTTTCCCGATTTTTTAAATTTTTCGATTTTTCAATTTTCAGTTCTTCGATTTTTCAATTTTTCAGTTCTTCGAATTTTTAACTTTTAGATATTTCAGTTTCTCGTTTTTGTCAATTATTAATGTCTCGATTTTTCGATACTTCGGATTCTCCAATACATATTTCAATTTCTCAATTTTTTGATGTTCGATTTCTGGATTATGCAATTTTTGGACAGTTTAATTTTTCAATTTTTCAATAATTCGATTTCAGATTTTCGACTTGTAGAATTCTATCTTTCAGTTTTTTTATTCTTCAGTTTTCCAATTTTTCAAATTTTTATTTTTTGATTTTCAATTTTTTGATACCTGCTTGAGTTCTGGAATTTTTCTACATTTAAGTTCTTCAACTTTTTCGATTCTTTAATTTTTCTTCGATTTTTCAGTTTTTCGATACTTTGTTCCGAATTTTTTCGTTTTTAGATTCTTCAATATTTCGATATCCCAATTTCTCGATTTTTTCAATTATTAATTTCTCGATTTTTCGATCACTCAAGTCGGTTTTAAAATCTAGAATTTTTCCATGTTCGATTTTTAAAATTTTTGACTTTTCAATTTTTCAATTGTTCGATTTCCATTTCTCGATTTTTCGGTTTTTCGACTACTCGATTTTTTTATTTCTCGATCTTTTGAAGTTTCGATTACTCGATGCTTCAATTTTTCAAGTTTTTAATTGTTCGATTTCTCGATTTTTCAACATTACAATTTTGGGAATTTTTCAATTTCTGGTAATTTTATTCTTTTAATTTTTTATATTTTAAATTTTTCAATTTTTATGTTTCTTTTTTGGATTTAACGATTTTCCGATTTCGCAGTTGTTCGATTTTTCAATTTTTTAATTTTTTTCAATTTCTCCACTTTTCAATTTTTTGATTATATGGTTTTTGATGCTTCAATTGCTCGATCTTTCTATTTTTCGGCTTCTGGCTTTTAAATTTTACGGTTTTTCATTTTCGATTTTCAATTTTTCGGTTTTTAAATGTTTCGATTTTTCGGTTTTTTAAATTTTAGATTTTTTGATTTCTTAAATTTTCGATTTTTCAGTTTTTAGATTTTTCAATTCATATCTTCGAATTTTTAAAGTTTAGGTTTTTCAATTTTTCGATTCCTCGATCTTTCGATTTTTGGGCTTCTCGGTATTAGAATTTACGGTTTTTCCACTTTCCGATGTTTAAAATTAGTGATTTCTCGATTTTTTGACTTTTCAATTGTTGTTTTTAATTTTTTCGATTTTGTGCTATTTTTATTTCTCGATTCTTCGACTTCTCGATCTTTTAATGTTTCGATTTCTCGATTTTTCAAGTCTTCGATTTCTCAGTTTTCCAACAGTTCAATTTTTAGAATTTTTCAATTTCTGGCAATTTTACGATTTCAATTTTTAAAATTTTAGATTTTTCAATTTTTGTTTTGATTTTTCGGTTTTTGAACTTTTCAACTGTTCGACTTCTCGATTTCCCGATGTTTCAATTTTCAATTTTTTGATTTTTCGATTTCTGGATTTTTCACGTTTTCGATTTCTCAATTTTTCAGATTTTCTATTTCTCAATTTTTCACTTTTTCGATTCTTTTCACTTTTTAATTTTTCGATTTTTCGATACTTCAGATTTAGAATTTTTTAATACATATTTGAATTCCTTAATTTTTTGAATTTCAACGTCTACATTTTTCAATTTTTTGACATTTTAATTTTTCGATTTTTCAGTTCTTGGATTCAATTTAATTCAATTCTTCCATTTTTTTAAGTTTAGATTTCTCAATTTATTGATGTTTCGATTCATCGATCTTTCGATTTTCGGCTTCTCGGTTTTGAAATTTAGAGTTTTTCCATTTTCGATTTTTAAAATTTTTGATTTTTCGAACTTTAAATTTTTCGATTTTTCAATTTCCATTTCTCGATTTCAATTTTTCAACTTTTTGATTTTTCGATTTCGCAATTTTTCAACGTTTCAATTTTGGGAATTCTTAAATTTTAGATTTTTCAGTTTTTGTTTTGATTTTTTGATTTTCCGTTTTTTCGTTTTTCCATTTCCTGATTTTTAAATTCTTTGATTTTTCGATTTTCCAATTTTTGTAATTGGTCGATTCCCCGATTTTTAAATTTTTTGACTTTTAATTTTTCAATTTTATGCTTTTTTCATTTCTCGATTTTTCGGTTTTCCGACTTCTCGACTGTTTGGCTTCTCGATTGTTGAATGTTTCAATTTTCCGATGTTTCAAGTTTTCGATTTCTCAATTTTTCAACATTTCAATTTTTGGAACTTTCCAATTTCAATTTTTTAAATCTTAATTTTTTCAATTTTCATGTTACGATTTTTTGCTTCCTCGGTTTTTCGTTTTTTCGATCTCCAAATTTTTCAACGTTTCAGTTTTGGGATTTTTCAAGTTTTTGATTGTTCAGTTTTTCGATTTTTCATTTTTTCAATTCCTTTTTTGGATTTACCGATTTCCCGATTTCGCGTTTTTTTGATTTTTCAATTCGATTTTTCAATTTTTTAGTTTTTTCAATTTTACCAATTTTGAATTTACCGATTATACGATTTTTTGATGTTTCGATTTCCCGATCTTAATATCGCCTTTGACTTGTCGCTTTTAGATTTTACGGTTTTCATTTTCGATTTTCAATTTTTCGGTTTTTAAATTTTCCGATTTTTCGATTTTTTAAATTTTATATTTTTCGATTTTTCAGTTCGTAGATTTGTCAATTAATTCTTCTCTTTTTAAAAATTAGAGTTTTCAATTTTTTGATGTTTCGATTTCTCGATCTTTCGATTTTTCGGTTTCTTCTTTTAAATTAAAATTTTTCAATTTTTAATTTCGATTTTGTGATTTCTCGGTTTTTCGTTTTTTCGACTTTCCTGTGGTCCAATTTCCAAATTTATCAACATTGCAGTTTTGGAATTTTTCAATTTTTCGATTGTTCAGTTTTTCGATTTTTCAGTCTTTCAAATTCTTTTTTGTATTTGGCGATTTTGACATTTCGCGTTTTTTTGATCTTTCAGTTGTTCGATTTTTCAATTTTTTGGTTTTTAACATTTTTTCGAGTTTTCAATTTTCCGATTTATACAATTTTTTGATTTCTTAATTGTTCGATTGTTCAGCTCTTAGGTTTTTCAATTCATTTATTCGAATTTTTAAAGTTTAGGTTTTTCAATTTTTTGATGTTTCGATTCCTCGATCTTTCAATTTTTCGGCTCCTCGGTTTTTTGGAATTTACGCTTTTTCGATTTTCCGACTTTCAAAATTTTTGATTTTTCGATTTTATTCTATTTTCATTTCTCGATTTTTCGACTTCTCGACATTTTGGTTTCTCGATTTTTCAAATTTTCGATTTCTTAATTTTTTGACATTTCAATTTTGGGAATTTTTCGATTTCTGTCAATTTTATGAATTAAATTTTTATCTTCTGATTTTTAAATCTCTCGGTTTTTCGTTTTTTCGACTTTGGGGTTTTTCGATTTTTCGATTTTCCAATTTTTCGATTTCCAAATTTTTCAACACTTCAGTTTTAGGATTTTTCAATTTTTCAGTTTTTCGATTTGTTTTTTGGATTTTGGGATTTCTTAATTTCGCGTTTTTTTGATTTTTTAGTTGCTCCGTTTTTCGATTTTTTAGCTTTTTCAATTTTTCGACACTTTCAATTTTCCGATTATACGATTTTTTGATGTTTTGATTTCTCGATCTTTCCATTTTTTGATTTCTTGTTTTTTTGGAATTTACGTTTTTTCCATTTTCTGACCTTTAAAATTTTTGATTTTTTGATTTTATGCTATTTTCATTTCTCGATTTTTCGACTGTTGGACTTTTTTTGGTTTCTGGATTTTTCAAATTTTCGATTTCTTAATTTTTTAACATTTCAATTTTGGGAATTTTTAGATTTTTGTCAATTTTATGAATTAAATTTTCATCTTCTAATTTTTTAATTTCTCGGTTTTTCGTTTTTTCGACCTTGGGGTTTTTCGATTTTTCGACTTTCCAATTTTTCGATTTCCAAATTTTTCAACACTTCAGTTTTAGGATTTTTCAATTTTTCAGTTTCTCGATTTGTTTTCTGGATTTTGCGATTTCTTGATTTTTTAGTTGTTCCGTTTTTCGATTTTTTAGCTTTTTCAATTTTCCGATTATACGATTTTTAATGTTTAGATTTCTCGATCTTTCCATTTTTTGACTTCTTGGTTTTAGATTTTACGGTTTTTTATTTTCAATTTTTCGGTTTTTATATTTTTAAGTTTTTTGATTTTGCAAATTTTTAAATTTTCGATTTTCCAATGTTTCTGTTTCCAGTTTTTTGGCATTTCAGTTTTGGGATTTTTCAATTTTTCGATACGATTTCCCTATTTTTAATTTTTTTAATATTTCAATTTTTCACTTTGTCGACCTTCCGGATTTCCGAATTTCAACATTTTTCCATTCCTCAATTTTTCACTTTTCGATTTTTGTGGTTTTCAACATTTCAATTTTGGGAATTTTTCAATTTTTGCATTTTTCAATTTTTCGATATTTTAATTTATCGATTTTTTAATTTTTTTGATTTTTCCATTTTCACTTTACAAAAAATACAAATTCTAAAATTTTTTATAATTTTCAATGAAACGGCATTTTTGTTGGTCTGAGGTAACATTTCACTTAAAATAGTTTGGATTATGATGTGTATACGACTGATGTAATTTTGGACATTTTAAGTCGACCGAAATCTGTCCGTCGGTGTCCGTCTGACTGTCCGCCTGGTAATTTTATTACAAAATTTAATTTATAACCTAAACGACGTTCCAAAGCTGTTTTTTCGCGGATTACAATAAGTTCAAATGTTTCGGTGTTGCGGGGATAATACTTGTCTGAGCTACAACAACTGGTATTCCAATTTTTGCAACACGATTATTTAAATAAAAAAATATTTTGAGGACAATTCAATCCTTGTTAACAGTCCTAGAATTACGTTTCCAGTCCTAAACAAGTGCCCAAAAATTTTGTATACTCTTTCAAAAAGTTCAACGTGCGTTAAACAGTTTCATTGACTCTGACTAAGAACTTAAAAGATCCCAGACATTTTATGCCTACGACCTTGCATATGTGGCGAATGTTACTGGGATTGCTTGAAAGGTAAATTAGATTAATAAGATACGAGATATCAGTCAATGGAGGTAAGTGTCAAGGTTTTGTGGTATAAAGTATTAAGCTCATACAACATGTGTTAAAACCAACTAAGACAACTTATCAATTATCATCAATATATATCATTCCGGTTTCAAGTATGAAACAGTGAAAAATGGCAACAATAACTAAATGTTTCCTTTAATTAATTTCGCATCACTTATATCGCAGGTAATAAATTAGTGAGTTCGGCAAGGTTTAACTGGACTGAATAAATTAATTTCCAGTTTTCTGACCTCGCGCTGGGTTGAATAAGCGACAAAAAAGAGCTTCAGTAGCTTTTCTTAGATTTCGGCTAATTTTTTTTTTATGGCACTAAAAAAATCTATATATTTTGAATGTGAAACCCAGCAGTACTGCCAATTGCAGTTATCAAGACACCCACCTCTAATTCCTTTTTTTTTTGATAGCACGGTATAAATCAATTATCCACACATCATATAACTGTTGAAATTTCCATTATCATGGTATGTTGCAATTGTATCAGTATTTCTGTTAAGCCTGCGAATTGAAGTGTAGTCATTGTCCGTTATTATTATGGAGCGGAACACCCACTTATGCGTTATAGTGCCGCTACTAAATATAATAGACTGCACTTTTTACGCAAATCTTAATATAACAAGATATTAAATCCTAAAATGTCGAATATTTTGTTTTGAATTTTTTAAGGTTTTTTAGAATAAAAAAAAATACACCAATTTTTCCAAGCGTTCGTGCTTGTAGATCTTATCCAACGCATCTTTTTCGTTAACTTAAACATCTCGTCATCCCCGTGCCTCCCACACTGCTTGTTTTAACCAGTTTTTTGCCTCTCCGTGTTGTCAGCGGGGTCGTTAGTCGTGATAAAAGTTTTCAGCCCGGAAATCCTGTTCAAATTCCAATTTCAGCGGAATCAATTTGACCGCGGCGTGTTGAACAAACAGGCAAGCCGGCGTCCAACAATGGATTTTTTTATGATTGGATTTGGAAAAAAATTGCCATCGTTTTTCAAGACCGTTTAGTTAAGTTTTGATGGGGATAATGGAGAAAAAACGAGCGGCTTTTCGATATTGGCGAACGCAACAGAAGTCGGTTAATGCTATTCCCAAACGATATCACAGCAGTAATGAAAGATGACCTGGCTAGATTGCGAGCTTAGCGTTATACTGGAAATGGGAAAACTGGTTGCTGATAGCCCATTTTCACTGTGATTCCATTGTTTGTCAGATTATTTCGATCCCTAGGCGCACGGGATAACGGCGGGAGCATTTGTCAACGTTAAAAGGAAATACTGTTGTGGTTACGCAGTAATCAAAGAAAGAAAGAGTGGATGCCTTCTCCCGAAATTAATATTTTAGATTAATAGACGCATCGTTGAGGAATTAATTTAAGGCGATAATTATCAAAGAATCAAAGGTGTCGTCGTAAATGTATTAATTCAAAAGTTTCTACCTACTCGAGTGTACATACAACAGAAATCGATTTACGTAGTATAGATAACATCTTTATTGGATTATGATTATCAGTATGTCTGTTGGCTTAAAAGATCTCAAAATAAAAACCCTTATAATTTATACCCCTAGCGTTGTATAGGATTTAAGTTTCGTATATAAGAGTGTCAGTAGAACACCAAATCATCAGCAGAGTGGAAGAATTGTGCATTAAGAAATTACAACAAGAGAAGCAAACGAAATGAAGTTGATATTTCTTGCGTTTGCGTTAGCATTCGCACCTGGTAAGTACTAAAACGATTGACCCTGAAACTAGTACAACTGTTCACATTTACAGCATTGGATGCCCGCTATGTACGCAAACTAGTTGTTCGACCACCCATCGCCGTTGTACCAGGAATTGATGTCCCAGTTATTGAAGTAAACCCAGTACCCATCGTACCAGGAATCAAACCTCAACCGGTACCAGAAATTGAAACACCAGGGCTTGAAGTGAACCCCGTCCCCATCATTCCAGGAATCAAACCACAACCAGTTCCTGGAATTGAAACTCCCGGACTCGAGGTGGACCCTGTTCCAATCATTCCAGGAATCAAACCTCAACCAGTTCCCGGAATCGAAACTCCCGAACTTGGTGTGGATCCAGTACCAATCATCCCAGGAATCAAACCCCAACCAATTCCAGGAATCGAAACTCCAGAACTTGGTGTAGATCCAGTACCAATCATCCCAGGAATCAAACCTCAACCAGTTCCCGGAATCGAAACCCCCGGACTTGAAGTAAACCCAGTACCAATCATCCCAGGAATTAAACCACAACCAGTACCCGGAATCGAAACCCCCGGACTTGAAGTAAACCCAGTACCAATCATCCCAGGAATTAAACCACAACCAATCCCCGGAATCGAAACCCCCGGACTTGAAGTAAACCCAGTACCAATCATCCCAGGAATTAAACCACAACCAGTCCCCGGAATCGAAACCCCCGGACTTGAAGTAAACCCAGTACCAATCATTCCAGGAATTAAACCACAACCAGTCCCCGGAATCGAAACCCCCGGACTTGAAGTCAATCCAGTACCAATCATTCCAGGAATCAAACCCCAACCTGTCCCCGGAATCGAAACTCCCGGACTTGAAGTAAACCCAGTACCAATCATCCCAGGAATCAAACCACAACCAATCCCCGGAATCGAAATCCCAGAACTTGGTGTAGATCCAGTACCAATCATCCCAGGAATCAAACCACAACCAGTCCCCGGAATCGAAACCCCCGGACTTGAAGTAAACCCAGTACCAATCATCCCAGGAATCAAACCACAACCAATCCCCGGAATCGAAATCCCAGAACTTGGTGTAGATCCAGTACCAATCATCCCAGGAATCAAACCACAACCAATCCCCGGAATCGAAATTCCAGAACTTGGTGTAGATCCAGTACCAATCATCCCAGGAATCAAACCACAACCAATCCCCGGAATCGAAATCCCAGAACTTGGTGTAGATCCAGTACCAATCATCCCAGGAATCAAACCACAACCAATCCCCGGAATCGAAATCCCAGAACTTGGTGTAGATCCAGTACCAATCATCCCAGGAATCAAACCACAACCAGTCCCCGGAATCGAAACCCCCGGACTTGAAGTAAACCCAGTACCAATCATCCCAGGAATTAAACCACAACCAGTCCCCGGAATCGAAACCCCCGGACTTGAAGTCAATCCAGTACCAATCATTCCAGGAATCAAACCCCAACCAGTCCCCGGAATCGAAACCCCCGGACTTGAAGTAAACCCAGTACCAATCATCCCAGGAATCAAACCACAACCAGTTCCCGGAATCGAAACCCCCGGACTTGAAGTAAACCCAGTACCAATCATCCCAGGAATCAAACCACAACCAGTCCCCGGAATCGAAACCCCCGGACTTGAAGTCAATCCAGTACCAATCATTCCAGGAATCAAACCACAACCAGTCCCCGGAATCGAAACCCCCGGACTTGAAGTAAACCCAGTACCAATCATCCCAGGGATCAAACCACAACCAGTCCCCGGAATCGAAACCCCCGGACTTGAAGTAAACCCAGTACCAATTATTCCAGGAATCAAACCACAACCAGTCCCCGGAATCGAAACCCCCGGACTTGAAGTAAACCCAGTACCAATCATCCCAGGAATCAAACCACAACCAGTCCCCGGAATCGAAACCCCCGGACTTGAAGTACAACCAGTGCCAATCATCCCAGGAATCAAACCACAACCAGTCCCCGGAATCGAAACCCCCGGACTTGAAGTAAACCCAGTACCAATCATCCCAGGAATTAAACCACAACCAGTTCCCGGAATCGAAACCCCCGGACTTGAAGTAAACCCAGTACCAATCATCCCAGGAATCAAACCACAACCAGTCCCCGGAATCGAAACCCCCGGACTTGAAGTACAACCAGTGCCAATCATTCCAGGAATCAAACCCCAACCAGTTCCCGGAATTGAAGTGCCTGGTCTTGAAATAGGACCAGTACCAATTATTCCTGGTATTAGACCACAATAAATAGTTGTACTTAATATTTAATCTTTTAGTTTTTTTAGTAGGAATGTAATGATCGGAATGAAATAATAATTCTTTTGTTATTTTGAAATAAATGGTTGCAATTTACTTGTTAAATAGTTTCATTTTGAGCGACTCACTATACATTTCTTTAATTCATAGGAAGCGATAAAAGTTGTTTATTGGCAAATTCATACAAAAACACCCAACAAAATTCGGTAGGTATATATTACGCAACGTCCACATTTATCCAGTATAAAGAAAAACTTGTTTAAATATTATCCCAATAAAATCAAACTATAAACACCATGCAAATTTCGTGTTTTTATCACAATAACATTATTAAATATCAAAAGAATAAAATCTTTGTGTATTATTACACTGGACACTGCTCTAGATGTTCATCGGCTTTGATCAAACAACAATTATTTTATCAAATGTAGACGATTTTAAATATAAGTGTGACCTAAAAATTATTTTAATTGCTAGAAAAAGTGCCGCGCGAGTGTCCATTTAACAATAAAAGAACGGCAACAATCCTTGAAACAATATTAGTCTATAAGAATTTAATTACTGCTTACTGATACCCGTCTTTTCACATGCTAATTGGTTGGAAATAGCAGTTTAATCGGGTGAAGTTCACAAAGTAACTAACGTAATAAAATACAATTAACAACGCAATTTGTACAAAACATTTTGACAATATTTTGAGATAGCAGTGGGGCAAGGGACGAACAACAAATGATTAGCCTTTTATCACCCAGACGATAATTTTTAAAAAACATTTCCAAGTAATTGGATTGTTAGTTTGAGAAAGTAGTCTGTTCTTGACTCTGTCCAAATAATTTTAACTTCATACATTAAGCAGGTAGCTGAGACAAAAATTAACAAAATGAGCGAAACAGGACCCACGTCCTTGACTAGTATAAAGCTCAGCAAGAGCAAAAACTCAACCTCGACTATCTGCAATCCGGTCATGCAACATCAGTGTGCAAAATGACGAGAGAACAACTCGATCGTTTATTTGATCAAGCTGCCAAACACTTCAACAGTAGTGGAAAAGCGTTAAATGAAGATGTTCGTCGTCTGGAAGAATGGCTGGAAATGCAAACCCACCTTCCAAAAATGTTGGGTAAGTTTTTGAACACTTTTGGAACATTCGCGAACACTTAATTGTTTGGTTGTTTAAGACGCTCACGCTCTGCGCAATTTTTTGATCCTGAATAAGGGTAGTGTTGAAGTTACTAAACAGAGGATCGATGGCTATTATTCGGTGAGGGCGAGGGTGCCAGAAATTGCCTACGAGATGAATCCCAAACGTCCGCACATGAAGGAATTTGACAAGATTGCGTAAATTACTACAGTATGTGGTGGACTTTTTCAAAACGACAAAATTGTAGATACGTCGTGGACCACCCTCAATTGACCGACGACATGTGCAAACTCACTTTTTTCAAAATAAAAGGTGAATTTATATCACCTAACCTCGACCCGATTAATTATATCAGAAAAATGGCTGCTCTGACGGAGCTAAAGCTGCGACATGACGTTATGCATGGAGACATTTTTGTATTTGACTATAAAGGACTTACTTTAAATGCCGCTCTGAAAGTTACACCAATGCTACTTTATAAAGTTTTCGTCGTCCTCCATGATGTAAGACAAAAATGATCTGTGTAACGATTTCTAAAATTTGGTTCTAGGGAGTTCTCTCGACACGTTTCAAAGCTGCACATATAATAAACATGGCACCACCAATAACCAAAATGATGCAAGCAGTGAAAATCGTTATGAAACCAAAACTATTTGAAAGAGTAAGTGTAAGCACTGAAAAAAGCAATATTTACGTTGATTTTTTTGCAAGGTTCATATTCATTCAGACGAAGATGCTTTAAAGAAAGTTATTCCGCTGAATTTGTTGCCTAGTGATTGGGGCGGTAAAGGACTATCGTTACAAGAGCTAGAAGGTAAGTTTTGGAAGAAAAAAAACTGATAAAAAAACAACACTTGCAGAAATTTTGGACGCAAAGTTAGCACAAAATCAAGAATTATTTGACCGCCTAGATGAAATTAAGGTAGACGAAGACTTGAGACCTAAGAAGTTGATAGATGATTGTAATCTAGGGGTTCATGGTAATTTCAAAAAAATTGAAATTGACTAAAGAAATAAAGTTTTAGTAATAAGATAGTAATACTTTTGTAGTCATAACATAAACTGAAAACTAAAATAAAGTCTTACATAAAGTCGTCACTCTTATCTAATAATTCGATTATCGTTGAAAAAAACTTGGTCTAAAACTAGTTAAACCGATCAATTATATATAAAACCTGATTCTGGGGATTTAATTTTTTTGTGATAATTTTAAGATAGTTTTAAGGTTATAATGTGATTAAAAATCTATTGGTGTCCAAAATTAAATTCTTCAAATTTGTGTTTCCGGGGGCACCACCATAAATAATAAATCTCGTAATGAGTGTTTCAAAAATTAAAAATTGAAAACCCCAAAATAGCAGATAATTGTTTAGGGATTTTTAGGCAAGTTCTCGAAAATCCCAATTTTGCAATACTGTGTATGGATTTCTTCACCGTTTTTCGGTATTTCAAAAAACATCTTCATTTTTCCATAGCCCCTCTACGAATTTTTGGATCTTCAACTTTTCAATTTCCCCGGCACGGATTTTTTACCTTCTTTTTGAGTTTTATTTAAACATTTTCAATTTCAAACCGAATTTTTCGAAAATTTTATTCGCGGACTCTTAACACTACGTTTTTCGAATCACCTCATCGGGATCTGTTTCGCCGGCATTTTTTTGACTTTCAAACAAATTTTCGAAAACTTCATTTTTAAATTTTTTCAAAAATCTTGCTCCGAGATCATTGACACGTTGTTTTTCGAAAAAACGCATATCTCAAAATTTTTTGAAAATTTCGAAGTACATTTCTCGAGATTTCGAGATCATTGAAAAACTTCCATTTACAAAGCGATTTTTTCGAAAATCTTGATTTGGGACCAAAAATAGAAAATTTGGTCTGTAAGTATATAGACTCAGACTCGTGTGGGGATTTTTAGAAACCTTTTCAAAACTCTTAATTTTTCAATGAGTTTTTCGAAATTTCTTGATATTAAAAGAAAAACTATTTTTAAACCGAATTTTTGGAAAATCTTAGTCCGGGGCATAAACACTACGTTTCTCCACTTATCTAGCTCCACATCCCAGAATTTTTTGGAGAATTTTTGACAACTTTTAAAAAATTTAATTTTCAAACCAAATTTTTCAAAAATCTTGATTGGGAATCATCAACACTCTAAGTTGTTCGAATTATGTAATAGAGATCAATATCTCAGAATACTTAGACAATTTTTCAAATCATTTTGTTTTTCGTTGTTACAATTTTTGAGAATGTTTACGAAACTTTTCAAAAATTTCAATTTATCAGTAATCTGCACGAATTTTTTTATTGCTTTTCTTAACTTCGAGATATTAAAAAGAAAAACATTTTCAAACCATTGACAGTTTGTGTTTTTTGAATCATCGCATCGAAATTTATATCCCAGATTTTCTTTGCAGATTTTTGACAACTTTTTTTAAAAGTAATAATTTTCGAACCAAATTTTTCAAAAATTTTAATCTAGGATCACTAACACTGTTTCTCGAATTAGCTCGTCGAGACCTATATCAGAATTTTCAGACAACTTTTCAAAAATCTCAATATTTCAGTCTCCCCGGTATGAATTTTTGAACGTTTTTTGAGTTTTCCAATTATTTAAAAATCGTCAATTTTAAACCGCATTTTTCGAAAATCTTATTCTGGGACTATTAACAGTACGTTTTTCGAATCAGCTCGTCGATAGCTTTATCTGAGATTTTTTTGAGGATTTCTAAGCATCTTTTCAAAAATTCCCATGAATTTTTTGATAATTTTTCGAAATTTCGAGATAATTAAAAATTTTCATTTTCAAACCGAATTTTTCGAAAATCTTGGTTGGGGACCAAGAACTTAGAAGTCAAAATAGTAAAACTGGTCTGTAAGGATTGGTAAGTTGAAAAATCTAGCTAGTCGAATTCTATATTTCAGGATTCTTTAAAGTAATTTTGGCGAAAATCATGGTCCGGGCTCAGTAATATTTCGACTCAGCTGGTCGAGATTTATATCCCAGTATTTTTGAGGATATTTTAGAATTTTTTGGAGGATTTTTGACAACTTTTAAAAAATTTAATTTTCCAACCAAATTTTTCAAAAATCTTGATCCCGTATCATCAACAGTTTATGTTCGAATTATATCAGGATATTTAGGCAATTTTTCAAAATGAATATATAAATCCATGAATACTTTAATAGTTTTTCTATATTTAGAGTATTAAAAGAAGTCATTTTGTTTTTCATTGTCACAATTTTTTTGAGAATGTTTGAGGAACTTTTTAAAAATCTCAATTTATCAGTAACCCGCACGAATTTTTTTACTATTTTCCTAAACTCCGAGATATTAAAAAAATATATTTTCAAACCATTGACATTTTGTTTTTTGAAGATTTTTGACAACTTAAAAAAAATAATTTTCGAGTAAATTTTTTCAAAAATCCTGATCTGGGATCACTAACACTATTTTTCGAATCAGCTATCAGCTATATCCCAGAATTGTTTGAGAATTTTTAGGCAACTTTACAAAAATCTCTATATTTTAATTTCTCAGGTTTGAATTTTTGACCGTTTTTTGAGTTTTCCAGTTATTTAAAAATCCGCAATTTCAAACCGAATTTAAAAAAAATCTTATTCGGGGGCTATTAACACTATGTTTTTAGAATCAGCTCGTCGACATCGTTTCCCACCATTTTTTAGGACTTCTAAACAATTTTTAAAAAAATCCATTTTTAAAATGATTTTTGAAAAATCTTGCTCCGGGACTATTGACACGTTGTTTTTCAATTCAACTCGTCCATAGCTTTATTTCAGATTTTTTTAAGGATTTGTAAGGATCTTTTCAAAAATCCCCATGATTTTTTTGATAATTTTTCGAGATTTCGAGATCACTAAAAATTTTCATTTTCACTGAATTTTTCTAAAATCTTGGTTTCGAACCAAATTTTTCAAAAATCTTTGTATTGTATGAGAATTTTTAGACAACTTCTCAAAAATCTCAAAATTTCAATCTCCCCGGTATCAATTTTTGACCGTTTTTTGAGTTTTCCAGTTTTTTAGAAAAACGTCAATTTCAAATCGAACTTTTCGAAAATCTTATTCGTGGACTATTAACACTACATTTTTCGTATCAGCTCATCGAGATCGATTTCCCTGCATTTTTTAAGACCTTTCAATAAATTTTCAGAAATTCCATTTTTAACTATTTTGCTTAAAAATCTTGGTGTGGGACCAGTGACACGTTATGTTTTGCGAATCAACTCGTCGATATCTTTATCCCAGAATGTTTTCAGGATTTCTAAGCACCTTTTCAAAAATCGCTATTAATTTTTTGATAGTTTTTCGAGATTTCGAGACCATTAAAAATTTTCATTTTCAAACCGAATTTTTCGAAAATTTTGGATTGTGAACAAACATATAAAAATTGGTCTGTAAGGATTTTTAGATAACTTTTCAAAACCCTCAATTTCTCAATGCCCTGTTTGAGTTTTTCGATATTTTTTGATCAAAACAAAAAAAAAATTAAACCGAATTTTTCGAAAACCTTAAGTTCGAGGCCATTAACGCTTTATGTTTTTCCACTTATCGAGATCCATATCCTAAAATGTTTTCGACGATTTTTGACAACTTTAAAAAAAATTAATTTTCGAACCAAATTTTTCAAAAATTTTGCTCTGGAATCACTAACACTATGTTTTTCGAATCAGCTCGTCGAGATGTATGTCCCAGAATTGTATGAAAATTTTTAGACAACTTTTCAAAAATCTCAATATTTCAATCTCCCCGGTATGAATTTTTGACCGTTTTTTCGCTTTTCCAGTTGTTTAAAAATCCGCAATTTCAAACTGAATTTTTCAAAAATCTTAATCGGAGACTATTAACACTACGTTTTTCGAATCAGCTCGTCGAGATCTGTTTCCCAGCATTTTTTAAGACCTTTGAACAAATTTAAAAAAAATTCATTTTTAAACAATTTTTTTCAAAAATCTTGCTTCGGGACTATTGACACGTTATGTTTTTCGAATCAACTCGTCGATAGCTTTATTCTAAATTTTTTTGGAAATTTTGAAGCACCTTTTCAAAAATCCCCATGAATTTTTTTATCGTTTTTTGAGATTTAGGGATCATTAAAAATTTCCATTTTTAAACCGTATTTTTCGAAAATCCTGATTTGGAGCCAAAAATATAAAAATTAGTCTGTAAGGATTTTTAGACAACTTTTTAAAACTCTTATAGTTTCTCAACACCCCGTTTGAGTTTTTCGATATTTCTTGATTAAAAAAAAAATAATTTTTAAACCGAATTTTTCGAAAATCTTAGGTTTGAGACCATTGACACTTTGTTTTTCCATTTATCGAGATCCATATTCGATTTTTGGAGGATTTTTAATAACTTTTAAAAATTTAACTTTCAAACCGCATTTTTCAAAAATTTTTATCTGTGATCATCAACACTTTATGTTGTTCGAACTATTTCGTAGAGATCAATATCTCAGGACCCTTAGGCAATTTTTCAATATGAATATATAAATCTATGAATATTTTGATAGTTTTTCGAGTTTTCAAGCTATTTAGAAACTTTCATTTTTAAAACGAATTTTTCGAAAATTTTGTTCGGGGTTCGAAGAATTTTTTCATCAATTTGAAGCAAATTATCAAAAATTCTATTTTCAAACAAATTTTGTCAAAAACTTTGGCCTGGGACTATTCAGAATATGTTTCTCGAATTAGGTCTTCGAGAAATATAACCCAGAATTTTTTGAAGATTTTTAGCCACCTGACCTTTTTTGATGTATCGAGAACTTAAAAAATTCTATTTTCAAACCGAATTTTTCGAAAATCTTGATTGGAAACCTTGTCAAACATTTCAAATTCGCAATGCCCCACTGTATGAATTTTAGGAAGATTCTTAGGAAACTTTTCCAAAGTCTCAATTTTTCATTTTTTTTTTCATTTCTCGTATAAATTTTTTGACCTTTTCACGATATTTCGAGATATTAAAAACCAAATTTTTCAAAAATCCAATTCAAAAGACCATCGACACGTTATGTTTTTTTAAATTATTTCGTCGAGAAGAGCTCTAAAATTCCAGATTTGTTTGAGGATTTTTAT